TTTTTTTATTGAATTTTATTTGAATTATAGTATATGAAAGTCAAAATAATCAACTTTCAACCCCCATAGGAGACCGCCGCAAATATTTATAGTGTTTTACTCAGATGACCACCTTGTTTCGATCCCCCTACCCTCTTTCGATCCCCCCTACCCCCACCCCCATTTAACCCCCATAACCCCGAAGGAGGTGGGGGCCATCATCTAGACATTTACCAAAAATTGTTTCAATAAATTATGTTGTGGTGTTTGAAGTCGGATCTCAATGGACTTTGGGAGTTAATCCTCGGGTGTCTTTTTATTTCAATTTTTAGCACACCTATGGAACAAATCGGTGAGTCGATCCTTCGAGCAAAAAGGAAAATAAACAAGCGCAAAAAGCGCGAACGCCCATCATGCGAAAGAAAAATTGCTAATCACACGTTTATGGGCAAGTATCAATTTGCTGCGAACCAATTTTTATCGTCTCGATAATTAAATAGCTGAAAAGTTTTTTGGTGGGTGGAAGTTACAAATAGAAAAGAAAGCGCATTATAAGAATGGGCGTGTCCCGGGGCCATAACTCAAAGTTCAATTATGCCGCGCAACACCTTACTCAGAACATAAAGTGATGCCTTAAAACCGTAAACTAGTTATTATCTGCCGCGGTGCCCATGCCCATGCTATCGTATCTCTCTTAAGAACCGTCCTTCGGCATTAACAATTTCGCTAAGTTATGCTATTTCATTACAAAGATAAGCCCAATAATTTTGCAAAATGTCTTTGTTCGCTCATGCTCTGATGTTTATAACGAACGCTAAACTGCCCCGGCATGTCCACTTCACGTTCGATCGTTCAAGTCCACTGAATATTGCCATTTTAAGAGCAAATAACCACTTACAATACCTCTCCGGACTGTAGGTACGTTACCTTGTAGACGAGTAACAACCGAGCCGTCCTAATCGAAATTATTGCATAATAATATCTCCCTTCCAACGTCCATAAACACTGGCAAGATGACTTTGTTAATCTACTCTGTACTCCTTTGCGAAGTACTGGATGTCCGACAAGAGCCGAGGGAACCTCCAAGCACCCAATCTTACCGTATCTACTTCCCGTTTCACTTAAATCATTATAATTACTCTGATGTTGTGTAAGAAAGCTCTAGGGATAACGACATAATTCGAAGTAAGTAGTTGACGATGAAGAACAAACATTTCCTTCACATCGTTCCTTCTGCTCCAAAACCTGCTTCACTTCTATGAGGTCATTCCAAACCATTCTAACAAGATATGCTTATATGGAAAAGTGAAAAAGTTTTTGAAAACTGGAGTTACTTCAGTATGGAACGACCGACTTTATTTCCCAGTCCGGCCCTGGAGTTTGCCATGTTATCCTAAGAAACATACTTATAAATATAATTGCCCTTCGACTGTCTCCTGGAACATATACTCATTATTTCCAATCGTTAGTCATACTCGTCTTTCTTCATTGAAGGTGCCCAAATTGTTCTTCCGTTTTACTAAGGGAGGAGTAAAACCATAAAGCTTAAGTTTTGTTTGTAACGTTTCAATTTTTTTTTATTTTGGTAATATTTGGAAGATTCTCCTCTTACTCCAAAAAGGGTTTAGTTTTCTTAAATTCCTAAATATTGACACTGATCGCTGTTATTCTTGACAATAAAAATATATAAACCTTGCAAGTCAGACCTTTATTTTGGTATTGCTACCCCAAGTACGATATTGGTCATAATTCTGATTCCACATAAAGTCAAAAAGAAGTGCTATCAAACGGTATTTGTTTCCGTTCTACTATTGCAATGGTATCTTCTCTCAAAGAAAATTATTTGGAATATTAATATATCTAAATAATATGTAATGAATATTCTGTCTATGTGATTTAGATTTTGAGTAAGAACTAATTATAATCATCACCGTTATCTTCAACCTCACAACTTCTCAATTAAAAAAATTCAAATTTCAAAGATTTCCAATAATTTTTCGTGAAATTTCTAATAAATGTTTTCAATTTCATGAAGTGTAAGCATCTTTGATATTTGATTTGTAGCATACTTATGGGGATTGTTATGCTTTATATAGGGTTATTTCACTCGCTAAGCATTCGTTCAAACAAATTGGCCTTTTTATGATCGATGAGGATTCTTATCATGACAAAACAGTATTGTATGAAAATAAATAAAAATAAAACAAAAATACTGATATGCAAGGGAAGAAAAAGCAGAGAAAGAGCGAATGTAAAGATAGGACACGAAAGATTAGAAGAAGTGGCTGACTTTAGGTATCTAGGAAGTCAGATAAGTCAGGACGGAAGGAGTAGTAGGGATATAAAGCAGAGAATAGCGCAGGGTCGAAACGCATTGAATAAAAAGAAGTCACTTCTATACTCGCGAACGGTTACCTTAGAAATTCGAAAAAGATTGTGAAGTCAATAAAAAATAGGCGAGATAGGTTGGTAGGACACCTTCTCAAGCATGAAGGTCTGGTCGGAGACATAGAAACGCAGAATTGGGAGTTAGGAGGTGTAGAGGTAGACCTAGATCAGAATACTGTTTGCAAAAATTTAAGAATGTGAGTAGTTCTAGTTTTAAGGAAATGCGAAAATTAACTCAGGATAGGAAAGAGTGGAGGTGCGTGTCCAACCAGTCTTAGGATTGACGATATTATGATGATGTGGATTCGTAATATTAGACATTCAATAATGGATGAAATCCTAATGCCTAAATATTGTAGAGTCGCTGACATTTCTCCGTCTTCATGGTGTCGGATTTATATGCTCAACTATCCATAGGAATTATTATGCTTCGTCCTAGGTATTTTCTTTCTATAAACCCACGCTCAAGTAAATCGCTTGAACGAAGAAACTTTTTAACTTAACACCTGATTGATTTTAACGGCGAATTGTTTCGAAATCGGCGAAACTATCAAAATATTTATAAACGCATAAGGTAATTATATGGTGGAATAACAAAAGAGAGGTTGATGGTGCACGTTTCGTGGAATTTATCAGGGATCGTCGTCAGCGTTATAATACGTACGGCAGATTAATAAAAATATTTCTAAAATGAAAATTAAATTCTGCTTTGTGCCGTACCGAGATTTTATCGGTTCACGTTTTCTCAGCTCGATGGCTTATCGTACACAGTCAGTGGTTCGCTATAGCACCACAAAACCACATAATTTCTTTTGTGTCCCAATACTCTTTGTTGCCAGTTAAACCTGTATCCGATGGCGGCTATTACAAGAGAAACTGAACGTTATTCTAACTCATTTTTTACTAACAGGTAATTGAATTGTCTTCAGGCCTTCGATTTGATATCTGGTTTAGTTTTATTTTACTTAAAACCATTGTAGACACCTCACTTTGGAGGAATTCAATCACCATTCTGAAAAGTAACTTTTCCTGGATATGCAACCCATAATCGAAAATCTTTAAGGCAAAATAGCACAAACGACTTGCTGACAAAACCCAATGAAGCTAAAATCACGATCAGATTCCATCTTTACTTCCTTAATCTTCTAATGATATCAACCAAAAGCTTATCTATCCAATTATGGTTTTGAGTTTCATTAAAGATATGAATTACTAGTCAACGTTTTATGTACTGCTTCATTTTGAATTTATTTAGAATTGTATTTATGACATTCTCCTTTCTACGCCATGGATTGGTCCTTCACGATACGGAATCTTGTAAATTTTTCGATAAAAAGTATAAACAGGACTTTACAAACATTTCAAATGAATGACAGATTAACTGAAGATAGTTCTATTGGTTCTGCTGGAAGTCTAACATTTAGACAGAAACAGTTCCCAAATAACTCTTTTGATGATGACCTTTCAGGTACGTCAGGTCAATCACCAACTTCCTCTATATGTTATCTGGTTTAGCCTTATTTTACTTAAAACCATTGTAGAAACCTTACTTTGGAGGAGTTCAATCACCATTCTGAAAAATAACTCTTTCTGAAAATGCAACCCATAATCTAAATTCTAAAACCTTTAAGGCAAAATAGCACAAACGACATCCTGACGAAACCCAATAATGTCGAAATCATGATCCACCATATGAACTTATTGTACTGTTGAGTTACGTTTCTACCACATAGAGCTAGGCTACGCCATGGGTTCAGTCTGGCAAGTCTATTTATTTCCTTTTGAACCTTCTCCCACAAAATGTAGTAAACAAATTCAGTTTTCGAGAAGGGTGGTCAAAAATTCCAAACGCTCATACACTAGGGGAGGAAATTAATAAAAAATTGGAGGCACTTTTTACTTTTCTGTCTGCCTAAGTGCGGAACGTATTTAGTAGGTAAAATTTCAAGACGTCGAGAATTATATGGAACTTAAAATCTGTAACATTGTGGCCCACCCTTGACTCACTTTATTGATAGCAGACCTCTACAATTATTTGGGTCAACTGATTCTTTTTCAAGAGCGTCAGAATGGTACTAATTGATAATAGGAGATAGACCTACCTCATACACTTAAAAAATATTAAGAGGCTGAAGCAATTGTAGTTTTCCTACCAGTAAAGTAAACATTGAAGAGCTATAGAGGCTTTTGTATTTAATTATGGTATTAATTTAATTGGCCCAAGAAATGCCACTTATCGGTATAATGGGTAAAAGTCCCAATAACCTCTTTTTCAACCAAGTATCGCCCTCTGGAAGTACGAAGCCCAATTTATCAAACTTCTTCTACAAATTTCTGTACATAGGGTGCCGTCCTTATTGGATTTATATTGAGCTACTTGGCGTTAGGTGTCAGCAACGACACAATTCAAATTCTTGCGCCTTTTTTTTAAAAAGTACAAAAGAACGGCCCCCTTCTTAGTCGACATTAATGTCCAACTAACTAGGAACTTTATATATTTGATTTTCGTTGTAGCTCAAACATCAAGAACAAAACATAACGAACTTTAAATAAATTTTATACATAAAGTTCGACGAACTTTTGAGTGCAAACGTCGGTCTTTCTCGGCTAACGTAACTTTGTTAAGTCGCTTAGGTATTGGTTGTTGTTTTCACCTGTACAGGTGAGAGTCAGGCAGCCAGGTCTTATCAGGTATTAGTGAAATGGAAACGTTGTGTAGGTGATCATTGCTTCTTTTATAGTGCGCCTTTAGTATTATACAGAAAAGATTGATTAAAATCTTGTACAGTGATTTGACTATTTGGTACTCAACAGTGAGTCGACCACGCGAGTTGTTGGTCTTCAAGGTGCAAAAAAACCGCTCCTGTAATAACCATGTCAACAGGCAGGTTTCACAAGTAAGAAACCGCTGACTGCATTAGAGTAATAAAGAACTTGTTTACTAATTCATTATTTTCAACTCAGCTACCAAACATTTTTACTTTGCAAAGTGTAAATTTTGAAAAAGGTACCCATTTAAGTTACTTTCATCGCTTCGTAAGTTTCGTTAAACAATAGTCGAATATTTTGTTGATTATATCATGCACTGTTAATTCCCTTTTTCATAACCATTAAGTGACTTTAATCAACCACAATAAATCGATAAGACTGATTAGTGTACACCTTTTCTATTTATAACAAAATAGCATTTTTTTAAAAGCTGAATATGATACGTAGACAAACGACTGTTGTGAAATAATTAATTTTGAAAAATATCCCTTGCTTGTTTGTACACTTTCTCCTTGAATGTATCAATTACTATCAGTACTATCTTCATTATCGCCATAAAAATTAAAAGCTTATAATATTAAGTACAAAATAAATGGATCGGTTGCAACAGCTATATGCTATCAGTTTTATATTTATATTAGATAAATTAAGTTCCCCTAAGGAATATGGTGTTAATAAATGTAGTCTAATACTGTAGACGATTAAATTAAAAAAAATGATGATAATGTATTCTTTTTCTTTTGAATCTTCATTCTGCTCAGTTTTTTTTTTTTTTTTTGAAAAATGAGATGATTCTCCAAATCCACATGCATGCACCTTGAAAGAAACAATTACATACTTCATTTTAATGTGCATTAGATGGGCCAAGGGTGGAGGTTGTAGATTTTAAATTCCATATAACTCAAGTTCCATTGTAACTGAAACCACCTTAGATTCCGTGATAATACTAGTACATGTATAACGCACCCGGTCAGGAAAAGTAAAGAATGCCTCAGACTACATGTTTGTTTCCTCCCCATGTGCTCTTTCGCACTACCCTTTAGCCAGAAAGTAACTATTTATAGGTCCACCCAGGCTGACTCGTACCTAAATCCATGATAAAAATAAATGCCTGAATATGCTTAAGTGTTTTGTTTCATCAAACTTTTAGAGCTGCTAAGGATGGACATATAGATGTGCTTAAGGAAACTACAAAAAGAGATTGTAATGGACGAGATGAACAGGGGATGACCCCTACTCTTTATGCGGCGTTTTTTGGTCATTTGGAAGCGCTTCGATTGCTGTGTGGTCGAGGGTAGGAAACACATCTCCGTCAGTCTATAAAATCTTCTAAAAGTTCCTTCCGTATATTTAAATTTTTAGAGGAGATCCTGACAAAAGCGATAATTTCGGTAACACGGCATTACATTTGGCAGCAGCGCAGGGGCACAAGTCGGTGGTCACCTTTCTAGTCAATTTTGGAGCCAACATTTATGCCCTGGACATAGACGAACACACACCTCAAGAACTGGCAGGAATAAACAATAGGAATGACATTATGAGATTTTTAGACGGTGTCTCTGCAAAACTAGAAACAACGGACAAAAAGAAAGCAAAAGCGTTGAAGGAAAAGGCAAAGAAGGATGCCGAAAAAAAAATTAAAGTACGTATATGAACCCAGTACATATATGTATGATTTGCAGTTTTTTATTGCGTCAAATCCTATCTCAAGAGATGCAATCAAACACTTTTAAACCTGGAACTTTTTGGCATTGAAACCAAAACTCCTTCCACTTGTTCTCTCTAACTCTCTTTCTCCTTTTCTGCAATGAAAAGTTCCATTCTTCCATTTCCCTTAATCTTGGAAACAAAGTCTAATAAGAGTCTTCGTCCATTATCTTGCATTCGCAATAAGTGAAATCTGTTTCTGAAAGATCATTTTTATAATTCAAGTTTTAATCACTACCACTTCAAATAATGGAGATTCATCAAACATTTCTTCATTTATTTTTTAAGGAATTCAATAAGAGACAAGCGAAAGCAGACGCTCAAGCGCAAAAGTATCAGAAAAAAGTAATCGGCGATTATAAACCATCTGTAATGAATACTCTTAAAATGAGGATAAAAAGTAGTTCCGTTTCGAATCTTTCCGCGCCAGCTTCCACAGTTCCTCGATTCAGTACAATGGTTAGCGGTGGTACAGTAACTAGTCACAAAGGGGTATCAGGGACAGTACAAAGAAAAATATTGTCCAAAAACAGATATGCCAGTACCGATGATGATTTCAAGGTAAGAAACTGATGAAGGAACTAATGAATTCTTTTTAGTCTACGGCTTTCTAATTACAATGGAGTATCATTTAACTAATGGATATTATCATTAAAACAACATTAACTTTTATATACGACTTGCGACAAATCTTCTTACAAATACGATCTTAATAATGATTTAACTATATGACACCCGTCTAAGAGACGGTCTACCTGACAAAAACCAGTTTGTAATTCCACAAAGTTAAAACTGAATTTCCGATGTTTAGAAATAGAAATATTAGCCTAAAGGATACAGAAATTCATAAATTCAAACTTCATAAAAGAAGTCTTCAAATGGCATATTTATCATTTCGTTTTGATAACCGAATCTTTCACCAATTAATCAGTTGCTAATTATTCCTATTTGATCGAATTTCCATCAATTTTCAATCCTTTCCTAAAAATACGACTCAATTTAGATAAGCGAAATAGAAGACGGAAAACGTTCTGTAAGATCGATCCGCGGTGTTCGGAGAGATTCCGAAGTGATGTATGGGGGAACAATAGATCCACCAAGGAGAGGTCTTTTAGAAAATGTCTTCAACGAAGCCGATTATGCTACAAATGAAAATAAAGAACCCACCAATCTAACGCGCTCGGTTTCTCAACCCGATTTCGTACAAGAATTAAACAACAACGAAAACATTCATCAAGAACAGAGCAGCATATTTAACAGGGCAGGACTTGGAAGTTTGGCCTTTAGGTAAGACAAGTGTAGACCTAAATTTGAATCGCCCTATTTCTCATCAGTATTCCTCATTTTTAAATGTCTTTAATTGGTTTTGCTAATATGGACATGTGTTCTCTTGTTCTCTAAAGTTTGGATTGTAAGTCCATGAGGGAATCTTACGAAAGGTTGAAGGGGTTTGTAATAACATTTTTAAGGTTAATATCTCAGAATTTTACGTAAAGGAAACCACATAAAATGTTTTTCCAAGAAAGAGTTACCACAATAAATTTTGAATAAGAAAACATTAATAGAAAATGAATTGGGATTATGTCAAAATGTTAACATTAATATTTCTCAAATCATCAAATCAAATATCGTGCAATCGAAAACACATCTTTTTACAAATTTGCATCTCGGGAAAGTAAAATAACTTCGTTTATCTCAAATTTAATTAAATTAAATCGTTTCCCTCAAGCCCGATTTCAGATTCCACCTTTATTTCCCTTATCTTCTAATGATATCAACTAAAGCTGTCCAATTATGGTTTTGAGTTCCATCAAAGATATGAATGTTTTGTGTACTGCTTCATTTAGAATTTACTTAGAATTGTATTTAAAATATTCTCCTCTCCACGCCATGGATTGGTCCTTCACGATATGAAATCTTGATAAATTTTTCGATAAAAATTTACTTTATTTTTAAGGAAAAGTATAAACAGCACTTTACAAACATTTCAAATGAATGACGGATTAACTGAAGATAGTTCTATTGGTTCTGCTGGAAGTCTAGCATTTAGACAGAAACAGTTCCCAAATAACTCCTTTGATGATGACCTTTCAGGTACGTCTTGGCCAATCACCAACATCCCCTATATGTTTTCCTCACAATTATACGTTCATTTTAGATCCTGAATCAAGTGAAGATGAAAATCCTTATAACGCTTTGGAGAGGTTTTTGACCGCTTGGGGTCTCGGAGAATATACAGCTCGATTCGAAGAACAAAAAATTGACTTAGACACATTGATGTTATTAACCGAAAGCGACTTGAAATCATTAAATTTGCCTTTGGGCCCTTATCGAAAATTAGTCAACGCGATATCCGAAAGGAAGTCAGCATTGGAAAATCCAGGGGAAGTAATTGATAGTCAGTTATAGCATTTTAGCATGTGAATTGATGTTTACATCGCAAACAACGAAAAGATCGAAAAAGCATATGCAACGAACATTTGGTGCTTAAACATATTATGACATAATTTACAGTATGTATTGCTTCTATGCAAAAAAATAATATATGTATTTATTTTTTGGTAATTTATTCCTCTTCATTCTTATTTCTTTACCCTTAGGTAGGTACTTTCTTCTATGTACGAACTTTAGACAAATAAAATTAGGTTTTAATTTTTTTATTATAAGTATATCTACAAATAAGGTTTCCGTGTTATTTACTCACCATCAACACGTCGTCAGTCCTAAGACTGATTGGACATGCACCTCCACTCGTTCCTATCCTGAGCTAAGCTTCGCATTTGCCTAAAACTAGAACATCTCACATCCTTGACTATTTACGAACAGTTGTCTAATGTAGGTCTACCTCCGCTAGTCTTAAGTCCTGTTTCTGCCTCTAATATGTCTCTGACTAGACCTATCTCGCATATTTTTTATTGACTTCCATAGAGTCCTCTGTTCTGCTATTCCTTCTAATACCTCCTCATTTTTCTCTATCCATGGTATCCTCATCATTCGCCGGTAACACCACATTTTGAAAGCTTCCAAACTTTTCTTTTGCGCCGCGCCCACCATCCATGTTTCGCACCCAAGTAGCGCCGCGCTCCAAACATACACTTTTAACAATCTTTTTCGAATTTTCGTTCGCGTGCATAGAAGTGACTTCTTTTTATTGAAGACGACTCGACCCTGCGCTATCCACTGCTTTATATCTCCACTATTCCTTCCGTCCTGAGTTATCTGACTTCCTACTTCTACGTCTACTTAGCATTGGGTTCGATTCCGGGTCCGTCTGCCTTGGTCCAAGTTTTTCTGTGGTTTCCTTGAATCACTTAGGCAAATGCTGAAGCAGTAACATTCCACAGATAATCTTTCATTCTCTTCTGTCTTCATTTCGTCCGTCTCATCTTTCTCGCCCGAACCACCACCCACCCATTCCCACGGTTCCTGAAACCAGGCTGAAGAGGGCCTTCCGCCCTACCTTCCAGCGTCGTCTGGAGGGACTGCCAGCGCACCAGCATTACTGACTGGTGGGAATGAAACACCCAAAAGTTTTTTTAAAGTTTTTGACTCCTACAGTCCTTCGCTTGATTTTTAAATCTTAGCCTAACAAGTATGTAATCTAAGTGATATCTCCCTAGCACCTCGCATCTTCCACGCATTGCGTCTTCTAACGCGATGGTTGAATAAGTTATTCGCGACGGTTAAGTTATGGTTATCGCAAAATTCTATCAGTCTATCTCCCCTATCACTTCTATTGCCTAATCCAAAAGAACCTGATATTGCACCGCCCTTACCTTCATCTATTGGTGCGTTGAAGTCTCCTATAACTATTAGGTTTCCTGCCCTTTCACTAAACTTAACACGACTTCTATACCTGCATAAACGGCTTCTACGTCTTCATCATTGTAAGATGATGTTGGCATACAGACCTGCATTATTACCGTTTGTATCGGCTTCGAGTTTAATTTTACCACAACTATCCTATCGCCTTTTTGTAAATAACTTTCTACACTCTGCCTTGCTTTCCTACGCATTACAATTCCTACCCCCGAATTACCTTCTACCGATCCTCTATGTATTATTCTAAAGTCTCCACTACAGCTTCTGGCCAACGAACTTCACTAATGCCTACTATATCTAATTCTAGCCTAATCATTTCAACTTTCAAATTCTTTAATTCCCCTACTTGCCTCATTGTTCTAACATTCTACGCTCCGACTCGTAAAATATTGCACCTACCCCTATTGCACTTATTGATGATATCCCCCGTAATAATAACATAACATAATAGGGGACTAGTGTCCGGCTGGAGTGTTTTACCCCAGAGAACGTCATAATTTTAGTTTGGTGTGTTTTACTTGGGATATCATAGTGTGGTGGTTCCCGTTACCTTCCATATCGCAGTATTGTGCATCAGAGTGCCATGCCGATCCTCGTGATCTCTGCCACCCTGTGTACTGAGAAAAGCTGCTGCTCTCTTTCAGGGACTTGTCTTAGTCTGGTTTCTCTTGAAGAACCTCCCCATTATGGTTGAACCTAAGGCCCTGTTCCCTAAGTCATCGTAACTCGCAAGACGATCGACCCACTCTAGGTTCAAGTCCCAATATGCAGAAAATATAGCATAAATTTTGTCATGTAATGTTCTGCTCATAGATAAGCTTCTGTCTGATGACCTTATATTGTGGATACACTAACTTTCTATATAATTTTACTTCATTCTCTCATCAATAGGTGACAACAGCTTCAACCTTTTCAAGAAACTTTGTTCAAAGTTTTATACAATTATGAGTTACAATTAAACGATCTTAACTTCCTAACTTGTTTTTTTTGTTTTGGCAACAAAAAAATATATTACCAAGGTACTAAAAAATGTTTATTAGATATGGATTTCATAAAAAGTATTCACCATTATGATTGCCTCAATTTATTAATGAATATTCTCAAAGTTTCTTTAATATTTTTATATTCATTTGGTTGTATGAATGTTAAATATGATATTAATATTTTGGCATACCTATGTAACCATGATAACCTCTATTATACCTAAACGCATTTGTTCTATTATATCATGGTAATAGTTCATACATGTACCTAATGCCTAAATAATTTCGAAACTAAAAGTGAATAAATATTTACTCTCAACTTATTATCTTAACCTTTTATCAAAAAATTTAGCCCTTTGTTTTGTTACTGTCGTATTTAACGATATATGATGGCATCAAAATAGGCTCTACTTTTCTTAATTTAATTTGCTGTTAGTTTGTTTTACAAGTTGCTTTTATCATACATCTTATCATTACAAAATACATAATACAAATCTCATACGTAGGTGGTACAGATAAAATGATGTAGGTTCTCCCTTTTTTATATGTCTACATTATTAAAAAGATAAAATTCATTTTTCATTATGAGTACCTAAACAACATCACAGTCATACAATAAATATACAATAGAAATAAAGCATCCTGAAGAAAATAAAATGAAAGGTACCTTCCAAATCAGAAACATCATCGGTTACCTACCTACAGCAATGTCCTTGTTGCCTAATTGTTGTTATTTTTGGTTTCTCGGAGTTTAAAGACTGCTTCTATCTATTTTATTGTCATCAAGTGATCTTTTGAAATGGAGAGCAATCGAACGGACAAATTTGAAGGAGTCAAGAGCTCTTATCAATCGAGTCAAATTCGACTATGGAGTTCAAGTATGAACAAATAAGAAATTTCGAGATGACAAAACAAAATCGCCTATCAGTAGTTTAAACCTTTTGTGTGAAATTTCTGAAAAAGGAGGTCTCCCCCACCACTATACCATAAAAAGTGGTGGTTGGATGGGGGTGCGGGTAGGGGGATCAAAAGAGAGTATGGGGGATCGAAAGAGGGTGGTCACCTGAGTAAAACCCCATAAAAAATTTGCAGCGGTCTCACCCCCATAAAAGGTTATGGGGGTTCAAAGTTGATTATTTTGACAATTTTCGTACACTATAATTCAAATAAAATTCAATAAAAAAAATATTTTCAAGCGAGTGGAGGTGGGGGATCGAAGCAGGGTGGTCACTTGAACAAAATCCGATAACCTAACCTAACCTACCCTATTGATAAAGATAATTAAATAATGTTTTATATAACTTTCTCAATATTTTTATGTATTTTTCATTAGTTTTACCTTTGAATATTGTTTAAGAATGACTATATAAATATTTACATGCCTAGAAATGTGTAAAAATTGACATATTTATTGACTTTGAACCCTTATAATTTTTTATGGGGGTGAGAGCGCCACGAACTTTTTATGATACAGTGGTAGGGGAGACCTCCTCTTTCGATCTCACCCTTCGGGGGTGGGGGTCATCATCTAGACCTTTACGACAATTTTATTTATTACCTAATTTTTTTATTTATACAATTTTTGGAGATGCCTTCATTATAAGTTGGGAATGGGATTTGACATTACAGTAGAACGCCGATTAACCGAATCGCCAATTATCCGAATCGGTCCTAAGCGTAATATAAAAAATTAAAACCAGCTACTTACATATTGTAGAATTGAGTTTGTTAAACTTAATAAAGTTTATTCTATGTGTGACAGTTCGTTTTTCTTTATGTCCGATTATCCGAATTTTCGATTATCCGAATCGACCCCGGTCCCAATTAATTCGGATAATCGGCGTTCTACTGTATTTCCTCGATCTTCACTTAATGGTGGTTTGACCAGGAGTTCCGCGTTTTTTTATCACCGCATTCGGTGTCACCTTCGGTCCTGCCGGACGTGACTTTAACATAAACATTACAAGGCCATGGAGTTTTGGTAACACGTTTAAGGTCCATTTTTAACACGTCTTTACTTTATTCTGAACTTACAGTTTGTATGACTCGTTAGTGACTGATGATTCATTTTATTTTTATTGGTTGTGAGTAACTGTTTTACGACAACTCGACGTCAATCTTTTTATTTTACCGAGTATTGACAAAGAACTACTTATTATTATATTATAACAAGAAATACAGTTACATAATAAATTGTTTTCGGTAAAGGTCTAGATGATCGCCCCCCCCCCTTCGGGGGTGGGGGTGGGAGGATCGAAAGAGGAGGTCTCCCCCACACCTGTACCATAAAAAGTTCGTGGCGGTCTCACCCCCATAAAAAGTTATGGTGGGTTTAAAGTTAATAAATATGCCAATTTTTATACATTTCTAGGCATGTAGGTAAATATTTATATAGTCATTCTTAACCAATATTCAAAGGTAAAAGTAATAAAAAATACATAAAATATTGAGAAAGTTATATAAAACATTATTTAAATATCTTTATCAGTAGGGTAGGTTAGGTTAGGTTAGGTTAGGTTAGGTTATCGAGTTTTGTTCAAATGACCACCCTCTTTCGATCCCCCACTTCCATCCGCTTGAAAATAATTATTTTATTGAATTTTATTTGAATTATAGTGTATGAAAATTATCACAATAATCAACTTTCAACTCCCATAACATTTTATGGGGGTGAGACTGCCGCAAACTTTTGATGGGGTTTTACTCAGGTGACCACTCTCTTTCGATCCACCCTACCCCCACACCCGACGGGTAGGGGGT